GCGGATTCACAGCTCCTCAAACGAAACAGACTTTTCAGGCAAAAGGACTAGAGCTAGACTAAAGCGGACTAACAGAGTTGGTGTGAACGCACCCCAGAGATCCTATTACATGACTGAGTGTCTAAAGGCCTTAATGGACACCACTTAACCAACTTTTGTTTCATTTTTGGCTAATTATTTTTGACCTGAGAGAAAGAAAGCGGATCTCACTTAATCCTCTTCCTGTGTAGCACTAAGTGGTGTTGGCAGTTTGCATGTTATGATGATATCTGTGTAAAATACAGTTATCGACATGGTAACCAAAGCACAGATAGATGTCACTCCTGGCGTTACTTTGTCTTCAGTTGTGCCAGCGCCAAACTTGTTGAGTCAGTCCGCTGCTGACTCAGAAATTATCAGATGCATTTGCATGACATTTTCACTGTAAGTCTTAATATTTAGTCATTCGACAAAGTGGTGACTGTTCCTCATAATGACTGTTCCAAAATCAGGAATTTATCTCTTTTTGGGGCAAACTTTGCATTCCTCACCTATTGTGAAAACACACCGATGCAAGAAATTTCATAAAACTACATGTCTAGGCTATCTGAATAACTAATGTACATCAGTTGGATTTCTGGTCGGACAACAAACATTAGTGACCTGTTTGAAAAAGCTTCCTGGACCGTTTTGCATTAAGCAGGTCTTTGAATTATTTGCATCGGCTGAAGAAGAAGCTTCAGGAATTCAAGAATCATGTAATCATACATTATTGATTATCAGGATCTCTGAATAAACTCAACTGCGACATTTCTGGGAGTCATGCCGCAAAATCATGTCCAGTTTTCTATGTGCACTACCTGTATTTTAGATTGTGGACATATTGTTGACCTAACAAGTCTGGTTTTCCCACCGTTTTGGTATTTTTCAGCCTTTAATGAAAGAAAAGCTGCATAAAGAGATAACCTTTTAAGCATAAGGTGGTAGAAGAAGTGGTTCTTTTAGCTTATAGTGAAGACCTGATGTGAGGACACTGTAGGCTGTGTCCTAACTTTGTGATTTACTCCCAACTTCACCATGTCTGAATCCCAAATTGAAAAGAGAGTTGGATTGGCAAGTTTGATTTTCAGTGGTCAGATTCAACAAATTAACAATATTAACTTATAGCTATTGTTTGATTTTGGTGCCTTTATGCATTCGACCACTTGGACAACACTTGGACTAACGGCAGTTGTACAGCAGCATGATTAAAAACTGATTTAATTTAATACAAAAATGTCAGAAGTATAAAATGAGAGTACAGGATGTAAAGAAAAAAAAAATCTCTGATTAATTTAACTGACTTCCAGGCGATGTTCAATGCCTTGGATTTTTTTGTATCCATCCCCTGACATATTTTTAATAACCTTTGCAATCATTTTCTTGAAGTGTTGTTTTGTCTTCTAATGTAATCTATTTTAGCTACATCCAACTTTCCAATACGTTTTACAACTACAGTACCCATAATTCCATATTCTGACAAAGGAAAACTGAGCTAGTACACTTAATGCATACTTCACAGTTTTGTCATTTAAACATTTTTACAAAGTCAGTTACGTTTTTAGATGAATTTGCAGCCAGTAGTGATTACCTGCAGCTTTGTCTAACCAAATGAATCTCAGATCAAATCTGTAATCCTTTAACAGCAACAAACATCCTTTAAGTTTGCTTTTGCCTTTAGAAATACACAAACGTGTGTCGTATTCCTGCAATGACTGAAATCGGAGCGAAGCGACAAGCAGCCGCGTCGTGTTGTGAACATTTACGGTTGTGGAGTCGTTGCCTTTTAATCCAAGGCCTTGTGAGATTTTCATCCATAGCTTTGCCTGGAAGTCGTCCAGTGGCAGCTGATCTCTGTATGTTCACACAGGTTGCTTCCAGGTCACCTTAGGCATCACTGCCTCTCTCTTCATGCGAGCGCAGGCGGGCACTGCCGGTCAGACCTGCCAGGAACTCACTCACACACATTAGACAGAAAAAATACAACTCAAGAGTTTTCTATTATTATTATTTTGATCCTTCATCATTCGAGCGTTGGGCTTTGAGGAGCATCTGCTGTAAAGAGTAGAGGTAATAATGACAGAGCTCTCTCTATTTTTCTACTGTTTTAGATGCAATTTAAAACAGTAGATACGATGCTGACCTTATCATGTAGTTATCAGTGATCAATACTGTACCTCATTTCTATTAACGCATTTTGCTGTGCTGCAACTACAAACTTCAATGCGTTGTACTTTGATTATTAGGGATGCTGCAACTAACAATTGTTTTAGTTCTTGATTAATCTATTGTTTATTTTGATGATTAATTGATTAATCGTATAAGAAAAATTGGCACATTCTGCAGATTTTAAGTTCTTTTTATACACATTTTTAAAATGACATTAAAAGATGCAAATAAATCAATTTGATTCTTTTTTTAAATAGGAAAATAAGTATTTTACAGACTAAAACATATAATAAACAAATATACATCTGCACTGGAAACGAACCAAAACGTGTCTGCTTGGCTAATCTGACTTTTTTGAATTAACCTTTTTTTTAAATGTCATTTCAACCAGATAAAGCTAAAATAATGATTTTTATTATGATTATTGTTATTGTGTCTTAAATGTGAAACATATATATTTTTGTACAGTTTTGACTTAACCACTGTTTTGATTATGTTTGTCTTTCAGTAAGTGGATTTTTTTAGTCTGTCTGCTCCAGTTAACAATTTATTGATTTCTAAAGTAGTTGATGGTTATTTCAAAAATCAGTTCATTATGATTAATTATAATTAATTGCTACAATCTGCTAGACCAACACAAAGTAAAGCATAGTTGTAAAACGGAAAGATTAAAAAAAAAAAATTTAGATAAAAATCTGAAAAGCTTGGCATGCTTTTGAGTTATTCTAATACCCCTAAATAAAATCTAATGCCTTTCGCCTCATTTGTAAATGGAGTCCAGCTGAGTGTAGTTTATCATCATTCTGCATCTGTTGTGTGAAAACCTAAAGTTTCCAATGCCCATTATGAAGCAAACATCAAAGTAGCAAAACATTGTCCTGTGAAGCCGTGAGTCTGAATTCAGATGCTTGCTGTTGTTGGGTCTTAATACATTTGGGAAACATTTTGTTTCCTCTACCAGCTTCAGGGAGATCGGATCCTGTTTTCTCTCTAGCCTGTGTGTCACTTCACAACATGACATTTGAGGCGTTTGGTTGTTAAACACAGTTTGAACTGGGAAATCTCTCCTCTGTTCCCTCACGCTCCCTGACATATTTGCTGCACCACGCTTCTCTTCCAGTCGGGATAAATGATTCCAGCCTCATGTTTTTTATTATCCATGCTCACAGTGGGAGTCCGGGAGTGTTCTCCACCTTGCCTCCTGAGTACTTGGTGGATCGCCATGAACTTTTGCACAAGCCCTTCCTGATCTCGAGAGGCTTCGTCTAATCTTGGAGTTAATAAAAGTCATCTTTGTGATGAAGATTTTACTCGTTTTCTGTCTCTGTTGATCGCATCGCGGGTTTGATGTCTGTATTAAAGCTGGTGGGAGTAAAACAAGGAGCGTTGCAGGAGGGATTTTTAACCTTTAGAGTCGCCGTTTGAACTGCTGCCTCTGAGCAAATTGGAGGACTTGTTAGTTTGAATTATTTAAGCAGTTTTTAGCTGCAGCAGCATCTCTGTATGTCAGAGACGCTTCAGGAGGTCAAAAGAAGGTCAGATTTTACCTCTGGAGCGGCGGGGCATTAACCAACGTAGAACGCCGATCCACGTACGCAATAAAAACGAGACGATTTCTGTAGTAAACAGACGGATGAAGACGAGGTTTCCTGCACCACAGATGTCTAAGCAGAACAACACTTCATGGAGATTGGAGAATGCTGCTTGCTTTTTGTTTTTCCCATCTTTACTATAGATTCCGTACATGTGATTGAAAAAAAGGGCCAAGACGTATGCAGATTATGTGAGATAATCCTTCATCCAGATGTGGAGGAAGCGGGGTAGCGGTTCAGAGCTGAATCCACTGGACATGCGTTCGTCCTGCAGCGTTCACACCCAGTCTGCACCGAGGCTTCGTTCAGTTCAGCTCAGCCTAACGACCCTCGATTAATTGTTAACTGGAGTATTCGATTAATCCGCAGTAATTAAGGCAAGACTGTACAAAAATATTAGCATTTTTCATTTAAGATAAAAATGTTTTGTTTAAAATATGTTTCAGCCAAAACTCCTCAAGCAGCATCGTTTTAGCTTCACCTAGTTCACCTTTGCTTCATGAATACTACAGTCTTGCATTTTAGGCAATAACATGTTTATTTTCTTAATTTAAAAAAGTGTCTGAATTATTCATTTGCATCTTTTAATGCGTTTCTAAAATTGTATAAAAAGTGGTTAAATAAAAAATCTGCAGAATGTGTTGTTTTTGATATCTGATTAATCAATAGTCAGAACAATCAATTAATCGATTACTAAAATAATGGTAAGTTGCTGTCTTTGTTTAAAGGCTTTCTCTGTCTCTGAAGCATAATTTGATGCTGATATCAGTTTTCTTTTACATCCGATCTTGATCAATTCTGATTTTCTTTATGCGAACTACAACGCATGCGACATCACATGTTGTTTTATATTAAAAATGATACGTAGCCACATCCACCATCTCATCATATTGGGAATGTGTCATATCCCCGACTTCAACATCTTTCTGCCTAACTTTCTAACATATGGCCAAACTGAGATTGACAGAGGTGTGGCAAAAGCAAATGAGTTGGATTAGCAGTGCTTGCTAACATCTGTTGGTCTCATCCAGGACGTGTCACTGTGGAATATCATCTATACTGCCAGAAAATTGAGCTGTTAACACGTCTTGGTGCTTTGTCTTAATGTCGGCCAGTAAGGAAGAAAAGTCTCATCTTTTTATGTACAGTAATTACACATCCTAACTTCAGAGACGCCTTTATCTAGATGCTTCTTCTTCTGCTGCTTCTCTTCTTGTGCAGTGAGCAGCCCATCTTCAGTACGCGGGCCCACGTCTTCCAGATCGACCCGAGCACCAAGAAGAACTGGGTTCCTACCAGTAAGCACGCCGTCACGGTCTCCTACTTCTTCGACAGTACCAGGAATGTGTATCGGATCATCAGTCTGGACGGCTCCAAGGTATGCTTAAGCAATCTGATTATGCAAAAATGTACTTAGGACTCTGACACACTTTACGTTGCACAGAAAAGCCTCTTTAACTTTTGCAAAGGGGCTCGTTGAAGTTTAATCTCATCAGGGGGGGCAAATAAACTTTGCATGTTACATGTCTGCTTTGCCTCGCCTCTCTGCTGGGGCCTCTGATATGTATGTGGCAGTGATTATTTTAGTCCTGAGGCACAGGGCTGGAGTTTGCAGAGTTACGTAAGAGCTTCTCCGGGTGACTGGTGTCGCTGTCGAACCAGCAAGTTAGCGTTGTTCCGCTGGAAATAGCAGGCAAAGCTCGGTGGTGCTGGAACGGAGGGGCGGTGTTATCCAGACAACAACACGTTGTTTCACCCACCAGAGGCGAAAGTCGCACGACGCCGAAGGCTCATGCTGTTCCCTAAATTCCAGAGTGGAAACTTTCTGAGAGAACAAAATCTTCTCCTCGCATCAAAAAACAACTCCTAATTTTACAGATTTGTTTAACATGTTGACTGATCAAAGTTTCAGGAAGACCTTTGACGCCCTGCCTTCTCTAATCTGATGAGTATCTAACCAAACATGGAGCTCAGAAAAGAAAAATAATGATCATTTTCCTCCCCGACCTCACTGGAAGTTGATGTGTCTGCTGCCCTCAAGTGGCCAAACAAATTATAACCATAAAACCTTCTATTAAACTGAGCAAAAAAACAAACAAAAACGTCAACCAACACAAGAAACCTCTCACTGAAGTTATATAACTAAAGCAGGTAAGACTAGATGTTGGGGATTAGGGTGCCCCAACTTTTTTTTAGTACAAAAAGTGCCTTTTTTTTTTTTTTAACTTTCCTTACTCTGCGACAGACTGGCGACCTGTCCAGGATGTACCCCGCCTCTCGCCCGGAACGTTAGCTGGAGATAGGCACCAGCACCTCTCCTGACCCCACTGAGGGACAAGGGTGTTCAGAAAATGGATGGATGGATGGAACTTTCCTTACTTTTCAAATATACGTTTTTGTCCATATATTTTGTTTAATCTCTAATTTTATTTCTTATTTTATCTTGCACCCATCTGTGATGCTCTAATTACTGTGGTCAGCTGAGGTTGTGCTACATAAATAAACTTTAAATTAAATACATCTTGTTTAATGTGTAAAAGAAGGTTTGTTTTTGTTAAGCACAATTAGATTGTTTTCTTTTAATAAGATTTAAAACAAAAAAGAGATTATAAATTTTAAATCTGAATATTTCCAAAGGAACATAAAATGAAATGGACCTTTTTTAAATGTCTTCAAAGTTTTCCTACAAACATAATCACCTAGGGGGCGCAATGCCGTGTATTTTCCATTCATTTGATGTAAAAGCTGAAATGGGAAGTAAATGAGCCGCAGACCAAACAAAATGGATGGAGTTAGGAGTTGAATCAGGCAGCTACCGAAGCATCCGACAGTCAGTCAGTCGAACCTCTGAGGGAAGGTTGAAACTAATGAGCATCAAATGCCACAGATCCCATGTCATCCTGCGTCATGATGTAAATATTTTTATTATAGTTGGCTTCGACTTTTCATACTATTTCAAACAGTTTGGCCTTCAGGTTATAGATTTGTGTTGGTGTAAGGGCCACCAGTCGGCTTTTAAAGTTTACGCCTGCGTTAGGGCTGGCCAATGAATCGATTTTATCGACTCGTCAGGTTTTTGGTTTTTGAAGATTTAATTAATTTGGATGTTTGTTTTCACCAACGCGTTCCTTGCATTTCCATAGTTCAGAGTGATGTCAGCACGCCTGAGGCCGCCATCTTGTTTGACAAACATGTTTTAGAGCTTCAGCTTGTTTGGACTTTAAATTCGGGTCAAATCTACAACAGGTTATTAGGGCAACGCGAAGAATTTTTTATTTTCAATTACAAAAATTGCAAGAAGTATTTTTGTCGTTTGTAATTTGTTTGTTAGAAAACAGAGCGCGAATAAAAATGATCAAAATGGGATCTGAGATTTTATTTCTGTATCGCCCAGGCCTAATCTATTCCTGTTGTGACAAGAACATTGAACTGGTTCAATTTGCACTTTATTTGTGATCATATTTCGTCAAACCTACACTTGTTGTCTATTGATTTAATCTTGCTCTCATTGGTTGATCGATTTATCGTATCATTTGTTATTCGGAGGGCTGTTTATCTGCTGGTTGTCTGTGTGAAAGTTTACTCCGTCAGCTGCTGTTTCCACAAAGTAGTTAGTTAAACCGAAGGGTTCACGTTGAAAGCACCAGGAAAGAAAAATCGACTCGTATGTCAACATCCAATAAATCGAGCTAACTATACCAGCAGACCCAGAGTGGCCTCCCACGCTGATCAATAACATTACAGCCAGCTGGACTCAATTAGAAGCTCCTTATTGATGGTTTCCTGTGTGCCAAACTCCCACATCAGCGTTGATAGTCTCCCTGCAGCTGTCCTCTGCCAATGCAACCCTCCATCACCAGCAGCCATGACAAACGCCGGTCCCCGGCAATGTACGTTTCATCCTCCCACAGGCTATCATCAACAGCACCATCACCCCCAACATGACCTTCACCAAGACGTCGCAGAAGTTCGGCCAGTGGGCCGACAGCCGGGCCAACACCGTCTACGGCCTCGGCTTCTCGTCCGAGAGTCACTTGAGCAAGGTGGGTTGTGGGGGAGGCGTGATTACGCGTTGCTTATTTTGTTGAATTCCCGACAGAGCACCAGAGTCAGCTGCTACCTCTGGTTTCAGTTTGCAGAAAAGTTTGCCGAGTTCAAGGAAGCGGCCCGGTTAGCGAAGGAGAAGTCCCAGGAGAAGACGGAGCTCAGCAGTACGCCCTCGCAGGTAACGAGCCCCGGTCGTGTGTGTGTGTGTGTGTGTGCGTGCGTGTGAACAGTTGTGGTAGCCGCATTGCATCAACGTACCCTTTAAGTTTTCACATTTTGGCACATTTCAAGCCCAAACTTCAATGTATATCAGAGATTTTGAGGGAAATGTAAGAAGAAAAAATAGCCAGAATTGACGCTCTCCATTCTATCTAATGAAGCCTGTCGAGGTTTGTGGTTGTGATGAGGAAAAAAATCTTTAATTTTTAAGAGTTATGAATACTTTTGCTAGGTGCTTTGGTTGGCTGTATGTTTTTTGCATGATGTTTTAGAAGCTGGGTTGTAAACACTTGGTGTCCTGATGAGGCTCCTTTGCTTTCTCTCTAACGGTTTCTTCTCAGGGTGGCGCTGTAAAGCGGAATGTGTTATCTGTCAACAAGCCTGGTAAAAAGAAGGTAAAACCACCTGAGCCAATCCTCCTCTTTCACTCCGGTCCAAGTCTTTCCCTTCAAGTTTCTCCTCAGTTTTGTGAAACCTGATCCCTTTAGCTGCTGTCTTTCCTCATCTACGCTGATGAAAGGAAACCTGCCCTGCAGTCCCTTCTCCGCCTCCTTTGTCCTCCCAGTAGTTAAGCATATTTATTACTGAAAGTACAGTAATAAATTAAGACTACAACCACTTTGATAAATATCTTTCTATGTTAGAGGTTCGCTTGGTGTAAACCAACTCAAGAAATTGGAGTAAGAGAGAGTCTTGAAGCCCGGGTCTGCCAGAGTTCCTGAATGTTCTGGTGTTGTCAGTCAGAAACCTGACAGCGGATTCAGCTGACCAACCGTGCTGGGTTACGAAACCGCTGGGTGTCAGACGGGCATGTGACATCACATGGAGATTTTTATGATCAGATGGGCTGAGCGCGGTTTATGTTATGCCATCTGAGCAGTCGTACCACTATAAAAAAATAAAACATACCACAGAATCTTGCGTCTTTGTTTACACGGTAAGTAAGAACAATAGGATTACAACAGCAGTTCAGCAGGAATAGAGCTGTGGATCAGTTTGTTGGTTCTGCTTTTGGGTTTGCAGCTCGTTTCCGTTCTCCAGATGTTAGTGGACCACAGAGTTCATGGAGGGGGTGGTGGTGTGTCCAGACCGCTTGAAACGTCGCCAGTACTTGATGACTCGACAGAACAGTTGCAACTTGCCCGATAGCAACACCTTCCTGAAAACCTCTCTCCATTTTTCTGAGATATTACAACCCCTACTTCCTGTTTATTACAGCCATGCTCAAAATTCACGTGAAAATCGGATGGAAATAGAAATTCAGTACGTTTTTTTTTTAATCTTTCCAATGAAGAGAAGTTGTTCTTCTGGTCCACTTTGCTACAGCTTTCACCTGTATCTGCTTTAGAGTACGCTGTGGCTAATTTTTAAAACTGAGAAATGGTTGCTTGAGAAACTTTGCTTACTGATTCAGTTAATTTCCTTTTCCTTTTTTATTTTTTTCATCATAACAGGAATCTGCGCCAGGTGACCTCCAGTCACCTCTGACCCCAGAGAGCATCAACGGTACAGATGAGGACAGAGTCACACCGAACACGCCGAAGCACAGCGAAGCCAGAGCAGAACCTCCCCAAAACGCTTTACCGTTCTCTCACAGGTGAGGCTGCGCTCAGACCGTGTGGTTCGTCCTGTAACCAGCGGCACGCCGACGCGTCGTCAGAGTAAACGACGGTGGGCTAAACACACACCCCTGGGGTGCACCAGTCCACAGAGGAGCCGTCTTTGGTACTCTGACCTTGGAAGTAAACCAATAAATATGATCAACAACTATAAATCCTGTATTTATACGTGGCAAAACTTGAAAGATATGAAATTTGATCTTTTGTTTTTCCAAGTCTGGATAATTTTAGGTGGGGGGGGCGATGGGAATGCAAAAAAATTAGCTTCCAGACTTGATTTCGTCTCCAATTACCTAAATGATTAAAATGTGAAAATCAGAAAAATAAATGTTTTCTTTTGCTTGTTGTCCTTTAGTCCAAATTCCTTCTCTTGCTCTTTGGATCTTTTCTTCCTTTCGTATTTCATCCTTCTTTGTGTTATTTTGTATTACTTTGTCCATTTTTTACTTTTGTCTTTAGTTACTCCTTCCTTCTTGTTCTCCATTCCCTCCTTTTTTCATTCTCTCCTTCTTGTTGCCCTTGTTTCCTTTGTCCTTTCCTATCTTCATTACTTTTCTTATTCCTTCCTCGCTCCCTTCCTTCCTTCCCGTCTGTCAGTCGATTACTTTTGCCTCATCAGTTAGATTTGGAGTAAAACAATCAAAAATGTGACCTGCTGCGGATTTTATTGCATATCCAATAAAAAGCCTCATTTGGTGTTTAATATCCTCCTGCTAACCTGCAACGTTACGAACCAGAACCTGCTGGCTCAGCCGACAGCGCGGCAGTTTGCCCATATTTACCTCGGCCGGCTTTTCGTTCCGTCTCCAGTTCCTCCAGCATCAACAAGCACTGGGAGGCCGAGCTGGCGGCGCTGAAGGGGAACAACGCCAAGCTGACGGCGGCGCTGCTCGAGTCCACGGCCAACGTCAAGCAGTGGAAGCAGCAGCTGGGGGCCTATCAGGAGGAGGCGGAGCGGCTGCACAAACGGGTACGGCTCCATCGCCGCCGCCGCCGCCAATGGCAACGCGCTCCGGACCGGCGTTCACTTCAGACGGATGCTGTTTGTCTCGCAGGTGACGGAGCTGGAGTGCGTGAGCGGCCAAACGATGGTCATCAAGTCTCAGAAAACGGAGCTGAACAGAACAATAGAGGAGCTGGAGGCGGCGCTGAGGGCCAAGGAGGAGGTGAAGACGCTCGACATCTTTGAACATTAATAATGGGTGCTTTGAAGGGTTGGAACGTTTTTCTTTATTTCTGTATAAAGTTCTTGAACGCACTTCAAATTCAAACTTGCAGAGTTTTGTAAAAAGCAAAAAAAAAACACAAACAAACAAACAAAAAGAGCAATATAATGTTGGATTAAAAGTCTAAATTTGGAAAACGTTATTTACATTTGAGAGCAAATATTTTCATATACCTAATACAAAGACTGTCATGTGTTTGTCACGATGTCTTAGAAATTAATCTAAATAGTTTTTGCTCAGAATTAGCTAAATTAATTCTATTTGATAATGATTAAAAATTTATTTTTTGCCACTTTCTTTGTATTTTGTATATGCGTTTAATTTGAGCTGGAAGGTCATTTATCTAAACACAATTTGTTTGGTTTGTTTCAATTGAATGAATATTTTTTATTCTTAGTGGCTCAATGACTAATCGATCGTCTTTTATATGTTAAATGAAGTCATTGACATTTGGAAACATAACATTTTGCTATATTTTAGTCCCTGCTCTAGAATACTGTCACAAAAACAATAACAAAGGATATCATATAGTGCTTTATTTTCATATTTCACTTTAGGAGCTGGAGAGACTTAAGGAGGAGGTGGAGAGTGCCAACGAGTTTAAGTTTCAAAAAGACACCCTGACACAGAAACTAAAGGTGAGCAACAAGCTGCATGAGAGAGACCCAGTAAATATCGGACCAGCATCAGCAATACCGATACTTTTTATTGTTTAAGTTGGATATATCGGCAAATTTATTATCTTATAGGTGGCTTGTGGATTTTTTTTTTCCTTTAAATTATTTTTATTAAAACCTTGGACAAATTTTGGACAAATACTTTAATAATAGATTAACATAATAAACAATATTTTGCTTGTTTTAGGGGGGAAAAAAATGCAACTTTTTTTTCTGTTATTTGAGAGAAAATCAAAACACATAATTTTTGTACGTAGAGTTGAGAAACTACAACACAAAAATGAAATAAAATTTTGCGGGCCAATCAGAAACCGTAGTATCGCTCCGATACCGATACACGTCATCGATATTTCTGCTTGGCGCCAGGAGACGGAGTCGAGGAACCAGACGCTGGAGGCGCAGCTGAGCGACCTGGAGCAGCGCCTGGAGAGCAGCCAGCTGGAGCGGGAGGCCTACATGAAGAGCCTGCGCTCCCTGCTGGAGCTGCTGGACAGCAAGATCTTCGAGCTGACGGAGCTGCGGGACACGCTGGCCAAGCTGGTGGAGGGCAGCTAGAGCTCCTCCTCCGCCCGACGTCGTCACCAACACAACTTGAAATCTCTTCTCTCTCTCTTTCGTTTTTTTGTACATGTTAAAGAGTTTACACGACTTGATGCATTAGCGGTACACAGACTTTGCCACTTCAGAGAACTCAGATGGTTTACAAACAGCCAAGTGAAGCCTTTTCTTTGCTCCACTGTGGAAAACTTTCTCATTATAATTTAGATTTTTTATTTATTTTTTTGACCACCATGATATGCTAATCGACTGAGCTTCTGTGGAACACCGGAGCCGCCTCCTCGACTCCACGATTGCGCTTCGACGTTTTTCCTCACTTGTTCACTGAAATCAGCCAAACGAGCTCCTGCTCCTCCTTCGACCCGAGACGGATTTCTTTCTTTTACTCGCAGGATGAAGAGATAATCACAGGAACCGCCACACGAGGATGTCGGTTCATCTTATATTCTTCTACAACCTATGAGCAATACACTAAAGGAGGGACCGCCAACTCTTTCCACTCTCACTTTCAGGTTACCTTCCTGCTCCTGCCGACTGGTTTGAACCAAAAGCGATTCAGGATTTTCTTCAGTTTCTTCTGTTTGTGTGTGAGTGAATCAGATTATTTTTTTCCTTTTTGATGCATTTTGAAGTGCAATGGTTTGAATTGTTTTATTATTTATTACTAAAATATTTAGAATAATAAACATTGTAAAATGTTAATTTAATTTTATTGTCTGGTACGTGGCTGTGTAGATGGTTTAATTTCCGAGAGCATAAGGAAATCATGACGTATACGACCGAATTAGTTTTTTTTCTTTTGCCAAATACTGTTTGTTCCTGTACAGATCTGAACTCTTGCTGATGTTGCCTTGGGCACTAAGATGCATCAATGGTAGCTAACTGATGGTACGTTTGGGATTTATTTTTTTTCTTGTGGGATTACCTGTTGCCAAAAATGAAAGAATATGCTACAGTACGAACACCTGCAGAACACATTTTAAGGGCTTGTTCTTGGTTCGGGTCAAACTTGGGGTGATTTTTAGCGGCGGCTTTAAACTTTAAAGGCGATGATGTGTGTTGTTGCTGAAAAAGGCATTTGAAGAAGAAATTTTAAATGTGGAGTGAAGACACATGCTGATAAAACACAAATTGTAATTTTAAGTTTATATTAAAAGAAAATCTGATTAAAACAGTGATTTGGTCTCTTTATTTTGCAGTCTATGGAGAATCGTAGTAGTTCTCCAGTTCAACAAAAGCAAAAACAAACAAAAAAAAGAGCCAACATCTTATTGTGGTTTTACTTTTGTCAGTTTTGGTCCTCCATAGTTAAATCCCAAACAGGATGATTAAAAAAAAGAAAATCTCAGCCACTGAAGGGTCAACGTGAACTTCTATGAGCATACAGTTTTATAGATTGAAAGAACTTTCAAAAGACAGAATTTTTGGTGCTTTTAATATGAAAGGAAAAATAAAGATTTTTTTTTTTTTTGGTTATGGAAAAGCAGAGAGGAATGGTGTGATGGGAAACATCATCAAGTACATTTAAAAACATCTTTAAAATATGACGCTTCAATAAATACTTCAATACATTTAGGCATGTGGATACATTTCTCATGATTTACATTTGTTTACAGTATAAATCATAAAATGACTTTTTTTTCCTCCGATCTTCATTATTGCACATACGTTGTGATGGGTTTGCCCTCCTCAAGCCAGTCTTGTACAAATGTTGCTAAAACTGGATGCTAGTTTAACGACAACAAAAAGTAGCAAGTTGGATTCTTGGTTGCTTTTTCCGCCAATAACCTGGAAAACACAAACCCGTTAGAAGAAAAGCTACTGCATGCAAATAAACCACGGTGGCTTCGACACTTGGCAGTCTGAGCCAGATTACTTGTGACGCCACAGTTAGCTTAGTATATGCTAACGTAAAATGATGTAAACAGTGTGCTCTGTGTTTGTCCTGCTGAAGGAGATCCGGAAAGCTGAAGGAAGCTAACACTGCTAAGCTACGCTAAGCTAAAAGTGTTGTAAATTGGAAAAAAAAAATCTCCAAAGAAAACTAGAGACGAGAAATGCTGGTTTTCAGTTCTCAGTGCTGGACACGTCTGGTCAACATACACACTTGTTTTATGCATTTAAGCGACATCTTTGAATGCTTCATTTAAAAACACGATCTGCTTGTGATGCCGCATGAAACACGACTAAAGCTCTCTGGTCTGTTGGAGTTCAATTCCGTCCGATTTTCTTTAGTTATTATTTTCTACAATTGTGCTTTACTTTTCAATTCTAACCAAAAGTGAAAGTGTAAATCGGCATTCAACAAATATTAAAAACAAGTGGGAAAAGAAAGAATGCAGCAAACAATCCTGCTATTTACCTACGAGGGAAAAAGAAAATATATCTTGCAATTAAGCCTCAGTACTTGATGCATAATCTGTCACAAACTGATTTTCAGTATTAAAAAAACATATTTAAAAACATTAAATAATAAAAAAACTAAAATAATCACTCACACACCAAACGTTAACACAAAGCTCAAAAGCACACAATAAAAGAAAAAACAAACAAACAAATACAAGGCAAAGAAGAGTCATCTCTTTTAAACGCCTCATGCTGAAATGTGTGAGGAGATGAGCACCTGCCACCAGGGGGCAGTGAAGTCCCAATGAACCTGGCATCAGCTCGGAATGGGAAAGAAATGCATTTAATCTAATCACATTTTAACTGTGTGAACTTCGTTATAACTGCTTCCTACATCTGAAATTGTTTTGTCTAATGTTTCAGTTTCTTCCCAGTGAAGCTAATCAACTCACAGCTGAGATTATGAGTAAACAGAACAGTAAATCTTATATTTTATCGTCTCGTATGGCGATAAAAGCAGCCAGAAACGCATTCAGACAACTCTTTACTGTTGAAATGGAGGCAACAGAAACAGCTTTCATCAAAAATACTGAGCTGGCGTGAACAGCGTCTGTGCTCGGCAGGCCGCCTTATCGAGGTATAGAGAGAGTTTTAGAAAGTTACAGTCAGCATTCCTACAGGTCTAAATGCTGCACACTGCTAATCAGCTGGTTGATAGAATACGACAGGACAGATAAATCAAACTAATAACCAGCGTATATCCATTTGTTAAACCTGTGCTAGTGCCAAACGTCATAATAACCAGGGTTTCCCCAAGAAAACTTAGCAAAACTACGGCAGTTCATCAACGGCCCGCCATGTTTTTTATGTTGAAAAATGTTAAAAGTTACAAAAATTTGGAGATGCACAAGCACGCATCATAATTCTGAAATAATGTGTGAGGCGCAATTCAATGTGTCCGCTATAAACACAGCTCAATCCGTCTTTTCTGTCACTTGGTGTATAAAAAGAATAACCTTATTTAAAATAAACAAATGACACTTAGCCTGGTGGGCAGGCAAATAAAGCCTGGTGGCCCGCCAGGCTTACAACAGACTGGAGGAAGCATTGAACAACAAATACAATTTAAAGTGAAATTATCTATACATTGTACTGTTTTAGCCTCAGTAAAAATAACTCTTGCTTCCCTATTTTGACTAAAAGGAAAGTAAAGTTCGGCCTGATGGCAACGGCAAAACACAAAGAAACTAACAGAATTTCAAAAAAGAAATTGATTTTTGTCTTAGATTAATATGATTTGATTTCCTGCCTTCTCCGACGGACCCCATGTTTTTCTCTTGCTACAACATCTCACTGCTCCTTTCAGTGATCAGGGTCACTTCTGTGAGATTTACAGGTTCTACTGAGCGGTGTAAAAAGTTGCTGTGAAGAAAAGTTTGAAGGTGCAACACAGTGTGTGTCTCGTAGCAGAAAGGAGCAAACGTTTCCTTCTTCAAACAAACCCATCACAAGGAGCTACAGTACGACTCGGATGTAACAGGAGGTCAGAGGTTGTGTCCTCTCCAAAACCGCAACAGCAACACCTTAAAAACAACAAGTCTTTACAAACACAAGTATGGAATAACAAAAAAAAAAAAAAAAAAAAAAAAAAAGGCAAATTTTTTTTTTTTTTTTATTT